GGGGAGAGGAGAGGGTGGCAAGGGGGGCAGCCACTGCAGGAATGAAGGGGAGAGAGGGAGGGAGGAAGCCTGGAGGGGGCTGCGGTGCTGGCAGAGAGCGGTGCGGGGGCGTGGGCAGGGAAGGGGGGAATGACAATGACACACGCCAAACACACACGAACTGCGGACACAGGGGTGCTCGTGGGCACACGCAGGGCACCCGCACCCTGAGACTCTGGAAACCGAGGTCAGGGCTGCCTGTCAGGGGCTTAGAGACTCTTTCAGAAATGGTCCTGGCCCCCCTCCTCACCTCTTCCTGGCACTGACCCTCCTTCTAACCTCCCCCTCCCTACACACACACTCACGTGCTTTCTCTCTATAACCAGCAGTGGCTTCTCGCTTCCATCAGTGGCTCGACTTTCCCAGAAGAAAGCCCATCAGCTCTGCGGGGAAAGAAATGGGGAGGAGTGGAGAGGGAGAAAAGAGAAGAGATGGCAGGGGAGGAGGAAGGAATGAAGGGATCTGGAACAGGTAGAAGGAGCAAGCTAAAGGAGAAAAAAAAAACTGAGAACCAAGGTGACAGTGGAAATTCCAAAGAAAGGAGGGAAAAGAGGGGATAGGAGACCCCGAGGCAATGCCTCCCATCCCCACACACAACTAGCCACGGCCTCCCCTCCTTCCTCTCCCTGCCCCCCATCTCCCCTTCATCTTCCCAGCCTGGATACAGAGAGCAGTGGGATGGGGAGGGGGTCACGTTACCTTCCTGAGGAGGATGAATCAGAGAGAGATGGCTCAGACATCTGGAGAGGGGGAGGGGAAGCCATCCAAGAGAGAAGGGAGAGGGGAGGGAGCCAGCCAAGGGGGCTGACTGAGTAGCTGATGGGGATTAGAGACCAAGTTGCAAGAGGAGAGGAGTCAGGCACCTAGAGAAACTGTATTTGCCTGTGGGCTTGTGTGTGCACACACACCTGCGTGTACATGTACATGGCTTGTGCATGTGTGTTTATGTGTGTGTGGAGATGAATGAGATACATGGCTGGGAGTGGGGAGAAAAATAAAGGGAATTGGGGGAAGCAATTGTGCATTTAATCAGATCAAGAGTGGATGGGCATGGTAGTGTTTCCAATTTAACTATGTGATGTTCTATTCCGGTCTGTGTGGCTGTGATTGTGTTTGCTTCCAGGTGTGTGTGCATGTGTGTGTGTGTTGGGGGGTTCTTATCTCTTCTGCATGCCTGTATGCCCATGCAGTTTGGAGTCTTTGAGCACACCCAGTTCTGGGCATCCGTTGGTGTCCAAAAAGTGTGTCTGGCTTGGTGGCATACAACAATGTATGTGTAAGCACACACATGCCCCCACTCCCCATCCCTCCCTTCCTGCACTTAAGTTCAAAAGCCCAGGAGAACTTCTCAGAAATCAGCATCCTCAAGGCTCCAGTCATCCTGTGGTGAGGGACGGGGTGGATGTGAATGCCTGGGGCACCAAAAGCTTGGAGATTCCACAATCTGGGTCTTGACTCTGTCTGCATGGTCTCTGGACTCATTCTGTTTCTGCCACTCTCCATCCCAGTTCCCTACTGGGTCAGCTCATTCACACACTCCCCCCCTCTACTGGGGGTGAGCTGTGCCCTTCATACCCTGCTGCCTCTAGGGGCTTCTGGACTGGGCACAGGTTCTTGGGATGGGGAAAGGAGGGAGACAGTAGAAAAAGAAAGAGAACTGAAGAGAGTGGGAGAGACAGAGTGCTGGAAAAGGCAGAGCCGATATGGGGACCTGGTTGGGGATGCCTGGTATTGGCTCTGACTTGTTTATGTGAATCCATCATCTCTCTTTGTATTTGTTTCTGAATCTCCCTCCAAGAGGGTAGCTGGAGAAGATGGGATCCAGCATCGTAGGAATCCAAGCTGAAGATTTGGAAAACCAGGAGAGTGAGGAAGAGCACTGGGTCTTTCCTCTGGGAAGGTCTGGGAGAGAAAGAGAGAGCAGGGGCTTGTGGACCCCGAAGCTCACCGTTCCCCTCTTCTCCTCCCCCTCCCCCCAACCGGTGACTCACCTCTGCAGCCTTTAACTGCGTCAGCCATGGTGGAGGGGCAGGCAGGAAGGGGCCACTTTATGAGAGGGGAAGGGGTCCCCACTTTGAACTTACAGAAGATGCTGAAGGCCCCCTGAAAATTGCCCCATTTAAAATCTTACCCTATCCCCTCCCCATCCCAGAGCTGGGGAGTCCTGGGGAAGGGACTGAGGGGTGGGCTGGGGGCTATGGGAGGGTCTGGAATGATGAGTGATGGGAAGGCGATGCCCACCCTGATTGTTAGTCCCTAGGTCCCACTCGCCTTCAGACCCCTACCCACTCCTGAGTAGGGGAGGGGAGACCCAGCAAGCGGGGGAGGGCAACGCCGCAGAGATGAGTCACCAAGAAAGAGAGAGAGAAAGAGACAGAGATGGGGAGAGACACGAGGAGAGAGCCACTGGAGAGACACACACACACACACACTCAAATACACACAGAGACACACACACACCATCAAGGTGGTACCCACCAAGAGAAAGAAAACCACTTCAATCATCCTGAACCAGCCTCTTGCAACTTCCACCTGTCACACACACAACACACTGTCCTACAGAATCACACTGAGATTCGGAGACACACCCACTTACACAAACACAATGTCACACCTAGCCTAGCAGTTACCCAGACCTAGGCTGGAGATGTGTGCAGGGCAATGGAGATGTGCTCTAAGTGTTCTCATTCATTCCTTTTACCAGGTGGAGGGAGGGGCGCCAAAACCCTCAAGGAATGCGACTTCAGAAATCCAAGACGCGGTTGCAGGGACTCACAGGCTGCGCTGTGCACACTCGACAATACACACAAGTCGCCTGCCTCCCCGTCCACACGTACATAGTAACATATCAAGCATCGTCCTCATCAAAAAACAAACAACAGAAAGAAACCACTTGAGGTACCTGATTCTGGGGTACACCAGGCACGTTGTCCCGAATCCATCCCACCCAGACACCCCCTGACTCGTGCACACATGTACAGAAACGCAGACACACAAAGACGCCCACGAACACACTCACACGGACGAAAACCACCTTGTGCTGCCTCGCCCGCGTCCGCGCACGTCCTGGCGCCCCCGCGTGTTACTTTGGGGGATCGCAGTCTCCGCAGATCCAGAGCAGGCTCGCGGGGGCGGTGCCCAGGCTCTCTCCACCTCCTCCACCCACCACGGGTTGCCCACCTAGGAAAGGGGAAAGCAAGCCCGGCTGGCCACGGGCGAATCTGGAACTGGGGGGTTAGAGGCCTGGATCCTGGCTGATGGAAGCTGGTCTTGGATGCCAAGAGGGACTTGGATGCCACAGAATTGGGTAGCCGCCGACTCCCAGGTCCAGGGAAAAGCGAGGCCCAGGGCAAGTCAGGAGGCCGCGCCGCTGCCCACCTCAGTCCTGAGCAGCGGCTTCTTTCCTCCACTTGGCAGGGGTGGGGTAGGGGCGCACAGCCGGCAGCCCTCCCCAGAACCCCTCCCCACCTCCCCCCTCTCCCTGGGGAGTCATTAGCCCCATTGCCACAGGGCTTAGAGATCCTCTCTGATACAGGCTGCTGGGGAAAAGGGAAGATAATGTGTCTCATTCCTCTTCACTGGGAAGTGAAACAGACACAGAGGGTGGCCAAAAGGTCCATTTTATTGTCATACAGTCATGGTCACCTTGACAAGGAGGGTGGCAGCGTGGCCAGGCACAGGAGGCAACCAAGCAGAGCAGCACAGTAGCAAAACCAGAGCTGGGGCAAGTGGCGAAGCGGCGGTTGCCCCTCCTCCCCCACCTTGTCTACATTCTTCCACCTGCTGGTGTCCACCTCTGCCCACATCTTGGATCCCATCCCCAGCGAACCCCGAACTCACTGCCAACATTCTCCTAGCACCTATGCATTGCTCAAGCTAACATCATCACACAGAGTGAAGTTCTAGGTCATGCTCTAGGCTTGGGACACCTGGGTTCTTTTCACTGGGAGGCTCCTAGCTACTATGAATGACTTAGAAGTCACTTTGATCTTTCCCAGCCTTCTGTTTTCTCCCTCTGCCTTTGATATGGGGAACCAGTATTGGAGACAGCGCTGTGCAGATGCAGCTGTTACTACTTGCAATTAAATAGAAGACTCTCAAAGTTCTAAAAGCATAAATGATCCAGAGGAAGGGAGTGGTGTCCAGAAATACCAGGAGGTGGGGATTCCAGTTGCACTAGAAGGCGGCCTGGTTGGAACCAGGAGACAGCCCCTATGCCAGGCTGAGGGACCTGCCCTCCACTGTACCAAACTCTCCAGCCAGAACCACACCACCCCCGCGCCCGGGTGAGCTGGGGCACGGGGGAGCCTGCGAAATAGCAACGTTGTGCAAAGCTGGAGGGAACCCCAGTGAGAGAGGCAGGCTCAGAAAGTGCATCACAAGATGAACAAGGACTCAAATGGGGGAGCAATCTAAATACATTTCATTTTACAGGATCTCTCTCTCTCTCTCTCTCTCTCTCTCTCTCTCTCTCTCTCTCGATTGCACACTGAGCTGGTGATAGGAAGAGAAACAGGGACAGAAAAATGGGCACTGTGATGTTAAGCATCGTAGAGATCCAGAGAGGATGAGGATGGGAGGCTAGAGAGAATTGGGGAGAGGGCACTGATCTCTGGCACCAGAGCAAATCTCTGGCACTTGAGCGGGGGGAGGGGCTTGAGGTGGAGAGGGCAGTGCACGGCCAGTTTTTAGGGCTTTAGAAAGGGCAGGAGGAAGAAAAGAAATGTGAATTGGCATTCCACACAATCCTGAGCGCTTCCACCCAGGAGGGGGCAGAAGGGAGAAGCCAGGAAAGGGGGAGTTCACGCCCGGGCTGAGGTGATGGAGAAGGAAGGAAGGACTCTGAAGCCTGTGCAGGGACCAGTTCTTTGGGAAAAGGGTGGATAATAGCAACTCAAGGCCCCCATCTCCATCCCACACCCAATAGTCGTCAAGTTCAGGTCAGGGAATGGGCAATGGTGTTTGTGGGAGCTAGAGGCAAGATAGTAAGGGGAAAAGGGACAGAGTGGGGGGACCTGCGCCGGTAACGGCAGGAGGGCAGGACTCAGAGGGGACTTCCCAGGGGATGCAGCGTCGGAAATGGCAGGAGAGAGGTTGGTGGGGGAAACTGTGGAAGAGGGCGGGTCCAAAGTACTTCTTTTTCCCATTCCCCGCCAGAGGAGAGGCCTCAGATGTCGGCCTCCAGCAGGTACTGTTCAGTATAACCCTTCACCAGCTCCAGCCCCAGCCCGGCCTGGCAGAAGTCAGCCAGCTGCGACCACAGCTGGGGCTCCAGGAAGAGCTGGCACATGACGTTGAGGCCGGCGAGGCGCGGGACCTGGCGCTGCAGGTGCCACAGCAGCTGGCTCTGCACCTGCGCGCCGTCGCTGCCGAAGGCGTCGATGTTGAGATAGCGCCAAGTGCCGTCCCCTCCGTGCGGGATGGGGAAGGGGCGCGTGCACAGTGTGAGCACGCGCGGGCGCGCGCGGCTGTCCACGCGCCACTCCAGGCCCTTGGCCGCCAGCAGGCGCAGGTTGCTCTCGCTAGGCCGGTAGGGCTGCCAGTCCTGGATGATGGTCCCGCCCGGAAGCACTTCACGCTGCACGGAGGGCGACAGCAGGAGGCGTGCCACGTCGCCGCCTGCCTCGGACACGGCCTCGGTGGGCAGCGGTGAGAAGGTGCCGGAGGTCCGCAGAGCCGCCAGCCGCGCGCCCAGCCTGGCCAGCAGCGCGGACGCGTTGAATCGGACCAAAAGGATGCCCTGCGGGGGGCACGAGTGAGCGCGGGGCCGGCGCGGGAGGGCTAGCGAGCCCGGTGCCTCTCGGCAGGCATCTTCACTCCCAAGTTCACGGCCACAGGCTCCCACCTGCGTCCCTCCGGAGGAGCGACTGTGAGGGCTCCGGGCCGAGTAGGGTATGGGAAAGCCTGGGTTTCAAGGGTACCAGACAGGGACCAGGGTCACAGGCTCCCAATACGTGGATCCCCAAGAAGAGGTGGGATCAGTATGGAGTAGCCAGGGAACCGAGGGTGTGGGTCCCCGAGTCTCCAGGGACGTGAAAGCCAGGGAGGCCGATCAGTCAGTAGGATTGGAGAGGCGCAGAGGGAGGACAAAGGCTCAGAGGAGGATGCTTGGGTCCCTGAACAGAGGCAGGATCCTAGGGGAGGCAGGTGCCCGAAGTTGGGAAGCAAGGACTAGGGTTTCAAGCTGGGAGTCGGGAGTTTGGCTTCCCCTGGGTCAAAAGGTCTGGTGAGGACTGGGAGTCCCAGGGCAAGGCTCAGGGGCCGCGCCACTCGGTAGAGCCCACAGAGAAGGCAAGCCCGTGTTCTGCTGGGGGTGGGGAGGGTCTCCTCGTGTGCCCCAGCAGAGAGGCCCAGCCATCCGAGTTCCCCGTCCTTCTCACCTGCTTGGTGATTAGGCGGTATTTCTTCAGCTCCCGGGGGCCCAGCTGGTCGTCCCGGGTGAGCCGTGCCACCTTGACCCCCGGGTGCTGTCGCTTGACCAGCTGCGAGCAGAAGCGCTGCAGCAGCCCGGCCACGCCCTTCCCGCGCTCCCAGGCAAGATGAACAAGGACTCAAATGGGGGAGCAATCTAAATACATTTCATTTTACAGGATCTCTCTCTCTCTCTCTCTCTCTCTCTCTCTCTCTCTCTCTCTCGATTGCACACTGAGCTGGTGATAGGAAGAGAAACAGGGACAGAAAAATGGGCACTGTGATGTTAAGCATCGTAGAGATCCAGAGAGGATGAGGATGGGAGGCTAGAGAGAATTGGGGAGAGGGCACTGATCTCTGGCACCAGAGCAAATCTCTGGCACTTGAGCGGGGGGAGGGGCTTGAGGTGGAGAGGGCAGTGCACGGCCAGTTTTTAGGGCTTTAGAAAGGGCAGGAGGAAGAAAAGAAATGTGAATTGGCATTCCACACAATCCTGAGCGCTTCCACCCAGGAGGGGGCAGAAGGGAGAAGCCAGGAAAGGGGGAGTTCACGCCCGGGCTGAGGTGATGGAGAAGGAAGGAAGGACTCTGAAGCCTGTGCAGGGACCAGTTCTTTGGGAAAAGGGTGGATAATAGCAACTCAAGGCCCCCATCTCCA